CCAGGGACCCCAGGAGGAGAGGGGCCCCCTGAACCGGGAGCTGAGCAACACCTCGGATTAGAGGCGCGGCCGGCATCGCCGTCCCCCTGCAAGGCACCAGCGCAGGCATCCGGGAGGCACCGGCGTTAAAATGAAGATCCCCGGGCGCGGCCTCGGAGAGCGTGTCCCAGGGGCAGGCCCGGGAGTCTGCATTTTAAAGTGCCCGCGTGGCTCAGTGAAGCCTTTTCAACAGCGTTACAGCCACCGCACACCTCCCTGCGCGCCGCCTAGGGACCTCCATGCAGTCTGCCAGCAGCCCGGCGGGCGCGGAGATCTGCGTTGCTAACAAGCCCAGGAGGCGATGTCCCAGTCGGTGCCGCTGGTCCACCCACCACGTGGGGCTAAGATCCTAAGACTCCTCCAGCCAGGGCAGGACGCCCTAAGGCACACAGGACGCATCTCCTTGGGGCTCAACTTTACCAGATTTGGGGGGAGGGGGCGGTTTTTTTTTTTTTTACAGAAACTAGTGATGTGGTTTTGGAGTAGAGGAGTGAGGAAGGTTGGGGAGCACTGTTCCAGTCTAAGGCTGCGGAGCAATGTTGAGCCGGGCACCTTGCCCACATTGTGGAGGACGGGTCCTTTCAGCCCGTTGCTACAGACGCGCAAATGGAGGTGCAGGGAGGTTAGTGACTTGCCCAGAGCAGAGTCCGCCCGCTGACCACCGAGTTCACTCGCTCAGTTACTATGCAGTGGTGAGAGCACAGCCTGGCACCCCAGCTGATGGAGACGGTGACTGTGGGGGCCCCATCTCCACCCACTGGCCCAGCATTGTTCAGTGTTAAAGGTGGAGAAGCACAGGGGTGCCGTGGTCAAGTGTTTGGGAACTAGGCTAGCCATGTGCAGTGGGTGTCTTCACGGATGCTCCTCGGTCTGGAGTATTTCATGTGCACAGCAGCTGCGGGTCACGGCCCGTATCCCTAGCTAATGTGCACCTCTGGGTGCCTGGTGTCCCAAGCACGCCGCGCAGGCAATGCTGGTCACCCCAAGAGCCTTGCAGCGCCCACCTCCGACCACACAGGCGCTTGTGTGCCCAGGACAGCAGGTCTCCTTCCTCCGCCTGCCGGGGACTCAAGGTCAGACCGCACATTGGACTCTGCATCCTGGGGCATTAGTGGAAGAGCCCGTGCTCCCTGTGCCACCCCCTGGCTGGGCCCCTGGAGTCTGGGCAGGTGTACTGCTCACTCCCAGGACCAGGCAGGGCAGCCCACAGCAGGTAACCAGCAAACTGAACAGCCGCTGTACAGCTGACAGACAGACATCCTTAGGAACCTCTCGCCCAGGCCCCTCCCCGCTTTAATCACTGCACTGCTGCCACCTGCTGCGCAATACACTGTTTATTGTTTGCTCCGTGGGAGTGAGAGCTCCTGGGCAGCGACTCATCTGCGTTCCCTGGCACCTGTGCTGTGCCTGTATACAGCAGGTGCTCAATAAATATGCTTGTAGACTGGATGGGCGTGAGTTCGGCACATCTTTGGGGCTTCTGCAGAGGCTGGTACAGGAGAGGGGCTGGAGGGGAACCCTGCAACCTCCCCTTTCCACCTTTCAGTGTTGAAAGTGGGTGGAGCTGGGCTCAGTGGGCTCAGTGGGTGCAGAGGTGCACAGCAGCTCGGGAAGGGATGGGGAGCTGGGTTCTCCCTGCCGGCCTCCTGGTCTGGGACGGGCCCAGACCTTGAGACAGAACATGCACATTTGGGGGAGTCACCCTTCAGGCACCAGCTTCCCGAGGAGGCAGAACGGGCTCTCCTGGGCTTGAAGGCACTTGGGGAAGGAGGGGAGGGAGCTGACCCTCCCCCGGCCCCCCAACCTCTGCCAGGGCCCGGCCCCCTCTGGGCTGTCCCACAGAGACCTGCCTGAGAGTCCCAGAGGCTCAGGGCCCCATCCAGAGTGGGTCCCGCCCACGGAGCCGGAGTGGGAGTGCGGGCCCGGCAGAGGCGCGTGACAGCGGCCGAGGTGCCGCGTCTGACGCGTGGTTGGCTCCAGGGACCTCCGGCGTCCCTTTCAGACCTTGGCTGCCTGCCGGGGCGGCTGCTGCAGCAGGGCCAGCGTGTCCCGCTTCTCGATGGAGCGCAGCTGCTTCTTCTTCGCCCGCTTGAGCTTGGCGGGGTTTCGGATCTGGGGGTGCGAGGGCAAAGCAGTGATGAGGCTGGAGTCTCCCCTGCTCCCCAGGGAGAGGGAGGCCTGGAAGAGGGAGGGGCAGGAGGCAGGGGGCAGGGGGCATGGACGGGGCGCCACTCACCACTTGGACGATCTCGGCCTTGCGCTCGTTCTCCAGGCGGCGTTTCAGGTTCTCGGCGCGGCGCTGCTTCTTCTCCTGGGTGCACAGCGGGAAGACGTGGGTCTGGGTGAGGCAGCCCCGGGCTCTCAGGCCCCCGAGGGAGA